AAAATTTGAAGTTATATTAAGTCAATTTAAAGCACAGTTTTGTGTCTTGGTAGACTGATCAATAGAACTAGCATGGTCAAATGCTGGCATGAAACATCAACATGCCACATAATTTGCTTATTCTTGTATGTAATGAATGGGTAAATAATCAGTTCATGCATTGATTATGTTCATTTTCCCTTTATTTTTTTCCATTGAATTTGCAAACTTTCAGCCAGCAAAACATAATTTAATTGATTTATATTTTTCTTTAATTGTTATTTTTTTATGGGAATGAATTATATTTTGATTTATGGTATGGTCTGTAATTCATGGCTGCAATATATTGTATTTTTACATTGTGTTTATGATGAGTTATATATGTAGTATTTCATGTCATATTCGTACCTTTTTCATTTGGAAATTATTTATAGGAGCATATAGATATATGGTTAGTCATTTACTATCAGGTGGTTAATGTGGGGTCTAAATCTAACTATCCTTAATGTAATAGCCTTTTATCCTATATGGCTATGTGAACTAATTATTCCTTGATTCCTTCCAGGTATTTGCTCACTCCCTTTTTCTTGGTCTTGGCTTCATGTCATTCAATTCTTCAAACATGTCCCTTTTCTGTCTTCATCACGCTTTTCAATGTTTTCATCCTAAACCATCCCAGTGCTTGCTGTTGAGTTGTCTTTAAGAGAATTGTTGTTTTCATAGGGGTGATAAAGATGTTAATATTTATCATTTGCCTGATACAGACTATATTTTTCCTCTCCTCCTCTTCTGTGTTGTTATTATTATTATTATTTTTTCTTTCAAAGGAACGTAGCCTCACTCTTTCACAACACAGCCTGTTGGGGACTTGTCAAAACTTGTATTTAAAATCTAAAATGTCTTTTCTACTAAAGAAGCAAGTTATAGTAAAGATGTTAGAATAAGTTTCAGGACAGTGGACTGGATGTTCACATGGTAAAATTGGATTCAATACTTTCTGTATTCTTTACTCTCGTAAATAAGATGCCTGAACAGTTCCATCATAGAGCCCCTTTTTATCTAATTCTTTTTTGGATTTTATATCAGGGAAGGGAACATTTTAGTTTTATCCAAGAGATTGAAGGAGGAAGTCCATATTCCCAAGTATCTGTAGAACATGTGCTCGATTCTGATATTCTTGGTTCTATGTCTTCCGGTTCTCATCCAAATAATAGCGGAGTACTTTCAGAAAATATAGATAAAATGTGGGTGAGTAGCGCAGCGGCATTGGAAACTGAAAATGCTCAATCAGGTGAATCTTTTCTGAGCTTCAATATGTCTAGGTTTTCAGCACATCATAAATTGTGAATCGATTCCATTTTAGAAAATGTAAGATAGTTTTCTAGATTATGAATGCATTAATGTCTTTCATATTCTACTGATGAGTATGACAGTTGATGTAGAATATAATCTTCAAGTAAGTTTTCTGGTTTCAACTCTGAAGCAAAATAATTTCTATTATTTTGAATGAAATTAGTTTGCTTTTGAGTGTGCACTAATTCTTAATGAATACTTTTTACTCTGAACTGATAGTTATGTGGAAGTTTTATGCTTCCATGATTCTTTAGGTGCTTCTTAAGGTATTGTATGTTAGAGCATGAGTGAGATAGGATGTCTTGATGATTTGTAACTAATTACCATTTAGGAGACTAGCCATATAAATGTAATGTGGTGTTAGTGGTTAGTGCTGATATCAAGTCTTTGGATTTGAAACCAGTTACAGCAAATCCCTAACTTCTGATGGTATTTGTGATAATGCTGATTTAAGTAGTTATGCTCCACATTGGTGGATTGGGGATTGCTGTGGCAAGTGGCAACTACCATTGTTCTAGGAATAGTTCCTGCACACACACATGTGCGTGTATCTATACATGGTCGTAAAATAATCCTATGAAATTAGTGTCTGTTCAAGAACTCTATATAATTTCCTTTTCTGCTTGTTAATTTTAAATCATTTTCATATTTATCATGCTAGTCTTATCTGGTCTGCTGCAGATATTGAGCAGGCAATCCTAGATTCACAACATCGGTGGCTATGCCCAGCTGAAATATGTGTAATTCTTCGAAATTATACGAAATTTCATTTATCCTCAGAACCTCCAAACACACCACCCAGTATGATTTCCCCCTTAAATTTCCATCTGGCGCAATTTGTTTGTTCTACATATTGTTCTCATAACATCAAAAATTTGCATTGGACATGAACCTCAACCTTGTTTTTGTGTAGCAGAGCCAGTACATGTATTATTGTAGATGATTAGAATACCGACTATTGTTCCTATTTCTTACCGATGTTTGGAATTACTGCTTCTTTTCTTGTTATTTTTTGAGTTCCCAGGCTCTGGAAAAAATCTGTTATGTTTTTGTCCTTAAATTTATCAGCTTATTTGTTTCCAAGAACTTTCAACAAAATTTTTTTTACTGATTATGTCTTGGAATCAGTTAGGCTAGGCTTATTCTTCCATCAACAGTTTATGTCTTATGGATAACAGATAACAAAAACATCAGTGTCTGTGGGTCTTTTCATAATTCTTTCTGTATTTCGATTATTATCTTCTCAAATAATATTCTGAATGTAACATCCCTCCCTTGATAAATCCCATGGCTTATCAGGTAAAGGAGTGGCTTGCTCAAAATATCAATTTGGGTGCTCTCATTTAGAAAGAAGATTTGAAGTTTGAGACATTTTAAGGATAAAGTCATCACAACTAATAGAGAAAAGCTAGTGTAGAAAAGAAAGCTTGATGTGTTAATGGGTATAGAATTTGTCAGTTACCTGAAAGAAATTTAGTGTGTGCAGGACAAAGAAACAAGGAATTTGAGATAATTCTTTATTTAATGCATAAGGAAGAAGAAACTGTTTTCAAGAACAAAAGACAGTTTTTGTTTACATACATATACTAGGTTCAAGAGTTAGTACAAAATAAATTGAAAGATCACAGGGCCAAAGTAAAGTTTTGGGTAGATACAGATTTGCCTTATTGACTACTTAGAAGCATAGGACATCCACCAAAAAGACTAGGATCAGCTGCTACACTTCACTGGTATTATCTAAAATGGTGGAAGAAGCACCATGAGCTCACAGCCTAGTAAGTATAATTCCTAACTTAAGAATCTCCAAGTCTGTTTTATGCATATCTGCAGTTTCTTTCTCCTACCCTTTCAGCCCATCTAACAAGAAAATATAGAAAATTGCTAAGTTAGTTGCCAGACACTGATATACTCCCTCAGACAAGTTAAGTGGGTTTTAAATGCTTCCTAGTTAGCCAAACTTCATCTTAGGACACCTGTTATTGACATTAACAGGTTAATGGACACCTAGACTCCACTAATCTGATTCCTAAAATGAAATGCAACCCAAAATTAATAATTCTTACAGATTAGTCCTTAATTCCATAAATGGTTCAGGACCCTAACTTTTGACTTCATGAAAATGAAGGCAGGAATATCACACTGAATTTGACAAGACACTTGCAGACATGCGTGTGCATAAATGTTAAACGTGTGCTTCCAATCACAACTTGGTGTTATACAAGTTTCACTTTTTCAGGTGGTTCCCTTTTTCTTTTTGATCGGAAGGTGGTGCCACACCTTAGAAAGGATGGACATAATTGGAGAAAGAAAAAAGATGGAAAGACAGTTAAGGAATGTCACGAGAGGCTGAAGGTAAGGACCAAAGATGCTGCATTTAGTTTCCTATTCTAACAAAGGAAAACACGTCTCTGCAATTGATTGAGACACAATTAAGTGATGCCTATTTGCTGGAACTTCATTCTTTGGTTATCATAATGAATTCTGGTTGGGAAGCTCAATTTTTATGAATTCTTCCGCTTTCCATGTAATATATTTAACAAGCTTAAAACCTTTCAGGTTGGAGGTGTTGATGTTCTGAAATGCTACTATGCCCATGGAGAGGGAAATGAAAATTTTCAACGACGCGTTTATTGGATGCTTGAAGAGTGAGTCTGTGAAGTTTAATTCCCTTTTTCTTAGTAGTCATTTGCATACCTTGTGTAGAATTTATACGAAACAATTTCTTTTGTAGGTAAGACAATACTCAATGTCCATGGGCCCTGGCTTAGTGGGAACCTTTTATATGCTGCTACATAAATTAGCATTTCTTTTCTTTTGTTAGCAATCATATGACTAGCCATCAATTCTTTTACCTCCCCAAATTGTACTTGGCTTAGGAAGTACCTCATCCCACCCCATTCCATTCTAACTGAGATAATGCATGAGCATAAATATGGATATAATTCTATGGTTTATTCCTTAGCAATGATTGTTAATTCCTCTCAGATGATAAATCTTGATTTTGATCATTTTTTAATGTTGGTTTATTTATTGCAAATCCTAAGACTTTACTGTCAGATTTGTTCGAAATTTAGAATCCTGTAACAGAATTCTTTTTCTGTCCTGAACTTCTAGATACCTTCTGTCAAATGGAGTCAAATTTTGGTAACTCACAAGTGTTTGATCACTAAAGCATAAACTGAACAGAGTGCTTATATTCTGATAGGGATTCTCAGTTGTTTCCAGAA